TTTTTTTTTTTTTTTAAGGAATGTGTCTATGGAAAAGTTAAGACCTTGTGGTTTCCTAAACTTTCCTTCCCAAGAGTTAAGGTCTAAGCCTTGGTTACGGAGCTCCCTTCTCTTAACAAAGATAATTAAAAGAAAATATTCATTTTCTTATACATCTAGCTCAGGGCTTTTTGGCTACTGGGTTGTTTTTTTGTTTATTTGTTTGGGGGAAGTCATAAAACTGGGGCCACAGGATATCGCAGTAAAGGGAGAAAACAGAACAATTAGGTTCAGGAAGAGTTGCGAGCAAGGGGTAACAGCTAGCAGGGTTCTTTCACGGGCAATAGCAAGCCAGGAAGAAGAAAATACAGTTAACAAAGGGAATAGAACAGGGGAAGCGGAAAAACCTAGTATGTGACTATGAAATGATATTCAAAACGCTCGGCAGACCAAGTATGCTAAGCCTCAGGCATGAACAGGTAGTACTGGCAATAAAGTGGGAACCAATCACCATTTTAACTCACTGGACAAGCATTTTCCCAAGTACCTGTCATGTACAAGGAACTCTGCTAGGTGTTATGAGGAACCCAAAGTGGAATGAGACGAGACCCTTGCCTCTGAAGAGTTGATGGTCTGGTAGGAGACACAGACATGTATGCAAGTATTCATGTATATATACAAAAGCCAGGAAAAGATATTGCAGAAGAAAGGTACAAAGAGCTAGGAGGAAAACAGTGATGAGCTCAGTAACAAAAGATAAACTGACACATTTTTGCCAATTTCAGTCCCAAGAAAGCTAGGCCCTGTCTGGCTCAGTGAGTACTTGTTGAATGAATGTTGGTAAGAAGGCGGGAAATGGTACCTGGCAGGCACAGGAATGGCACAGATTAGCCTCAGAGAAAAGGCAACAAGTAAATAAGAGGCAGTATGGACCGCGGCGGTGCAAGGTAACACCGAATGGGCCTGCGTACTCCCAGCCCGAGGAAGCCGATTCCGGAAAGGCAGGTTCAACCAGGAGACACAGCAAGCTGGAGACACAGCAGGCATTAGAAAACGCAGAGCACACAGGGCTACAGAGGAAGGAAGAAAGCTGTCTGGCGGGAGGATGTAGCGAACACCGGCAGAGAAGACCCGGGCCCAGGGCAGGCACGCCCGGCGACACCCGGCGCCCGCTGGCTCGGGCCACTGCCCCCTCCCCGCCTTCAGCGCCACCTTCTACGCGAGAGGAGGAAATGCATTTGGAGTAAGGCTTCCCCGGAGCGCCTGCGGCCCTCAATGTTTAATCTCCTTCGGGATCAAGCTTCGCGGTGCACAACCA